TTAATTTCACAGGAGTTGATTGTAACAGTTGTGCATCTTATTATTATCTTATTCAGTAACAGGCCTAGAGAGCACTTAGCACATTGATGTCAGTTGATGCTTCCGAAATAAGTTAGTTCATGATAATTAACAATTATTCCACGAGCGCGGGTTGGATATGAGATGATAGATAGCCAACGAGGCGCGTAGTATTATTTTGTAAGAAGAAACAGGATTTTTTAGCTCCCTTTTGATTTTAAGCTGACGCGTACGCTTACCATATTTGTAGATTATGGTATATTGGCTCATATACCATAATGGCTAAGCCAATAAAAAGTCTTGAATTGCATTATCCAATGATCCAGTTTTTAATAATGACAGTTACACGGTAAAGTATGTTTTAATTTCCGGCCATAGTTATTGGGGTCATCCACTTGATTACGATGGGAAACTGTTTTGCCTTCATTCAAACATGATGGAAAGAAAAAATGCATAACAGGTGTTCTTCAATTCTTAAATACAATGCAGGTAAACACTGAGGGGTAGACTCTATTGCGAGCATCGTTTTGGTGTGAATTGGTAGTTCGCTGGGACAGTGTTCCCGCACGAACATCTGTGTGGGCTGGTGGGAATATAACGACTTTCCAGTTGTTTTTGATATATTTTTTTTATTCTAGAGTAAAGGACTTGAGTTTATCTGTATTATCAGCATAAACTGTTTTACGTCCTTATTTCTGTTTCATGTCTGTATTACAGCTTAAAAGTTGTTGAATAGTCAGTTCTTTTGTTTGCTGGCATATGAATTTGATTTGAGGCATAAAACAATCTTCGCACTGCGCGGCGAATGTTGCCCATCTTCCAGTAATACAACAAGGGATTGACACTCGCGTTCATGAGAGCCAAGGTCTCTGCAATATCCCACAAAATATTTTGGGCTATATTGAAATCTTGAGTAAAGATAAAACGAATAGTGGCGAAAACGCTCAGGAAATAAAAGACAAAAAATAAAACGACAACATACAATATAGTTGCTGCAGATTTCCTTCTTCGGGAGGCTGTCCTGTGCACTTCAGCTTGTAGTTTGTTTTGATTCCAAATCACCATCTGATGTCTCCGTAAAATGCGAAAAATTTCGGCGCAAACTGCGACCAATGCAACGGCGACCACTACTATGACGACCAAGCTAATTGAGGAAACAACCTTGATGCTTATACCTAATGGCCAAGTGCCCACAACAAGACTCCATAACAAACACGTCACAATGACCACAGCTAACACACGAGGAATTGTGATGTGGACTCCATATCGCAAATGCAAACGAAGAGCGAGCAAGCGTTCCAAACTTACTGCAAGTAAAATCAACATGGAAAGAATTCCAGTGAATATGAGCAAGCCTTCTTTGACAAGCAGCAAGAGGCACAGGAACTCGCCTTGTAGAAGTCGTGCTTTAAAAGCTACGAAAACAGGATGTACAACGCAGCCTACTGTTAGATCAGTTAAAGCCAACGAACATAGGAGTACGTTTGAAGGAGTGTGAAGAGATGGTGTTTTGACGATGGCAGCTATAACGGGCAAGTTTTGTACCGTGGCTGTTAAACAGAATACACAATTCAACACCAGCACTGCCACGTTCGTGGGAAACATGCGAAGTCTTCTTAAGGGGCTATCAATGAGGAACGAGCAGTGAACTGTCTCGTTTTCCATTTTCTAAAGCAGATGTTTTTAGCTTGATGATGAGGTTGCCTTGGAGGTTGTTATGGTTTTCTTTTCTTCCTTCCGCTAGTTCAAATGTTTAAAACACCCAACTCTGGCACTGAATAAAGGAAAGGGCTGTTGAACAAAAACAAAGCTACTTTAAACAAATATAAAACTGAATTCTCCTAATCAATAACTTCACGGATGTCGCAATTTCTGAGCTCACAGAAGTAATAACTTTTCTCCCTTATTTGAATAGACACAATCACCATCTCAAGCTTTGAAAAAATAAAACACAAAAAAAGAATTAATCTCCTACTTGCCGTATTTTGCTACAACTTTAACCTGTTTCCACATTTTTGAAAACGACAAAACGTGTCATTATTGCCTCAGCGATAAAACCGACAAAAATTACTCAATATCAACATGACTTAATTAAAAAAATTTTCGCGATAATAGGTAGTCAAAATTAGCAGCGATATTGAAAGAATCAGTCAGCGTAGAGTATGTCGTACTTCAAAGAGTGAAATGAAAAATCAACAGTTTATGCAAATCGAAGTGTAAACCGCTGTAGCTTGTTTAAAATTATCTCAGATCCTGATAATATTTTAGTTATGAAGTGTCACAGAGAAATAGCAAATATTATCGCTAATTTCCTGTTTTGGTAGTCGTGATACGTGACTGTTCTAAAGAGTAGTGGTGCAAAGCCCAGTGGCAATATGTAATTCAGATTATCAATTTTTTTGGTATTCATTACAATTACTGCAAAAAAGATATTTATAACATAAACAAAGTAAATCTCGCGCTTTGATTGGTCAATTTAGCGTCCCCCATTTGCCCATGGGTGTATGCTGATGACGTGAGCAAATGCAAAGACTATTTTTCCGCGCGCGCTTGCTTTTTCTGGTCTCGTAAGATTTGTTAAATAAAAGAAAACTCTTTTGTTACAATGTATCAATGTTATTTTATAAAACAAATGGTAAACACCACAGCGTACACTAGTGAGTTATGGATGCACTTGGGAGGTTTGCTAAGCACTCAGGAAGCTAGATTCGCTCTCGGCAATCACCTCACGCAACTCTTACGCTTTTTTCGTGCTTAGCAACCTCCCGCGTGCATCCCTAACTCAATAGTGTACGCTGTGGTGTTTACCATTTGTTAAATCGTGAGTAGTTATCATAGCTAATAGCCCTAGTCCATTTCATGAAGACGAGAGGCTTTTTTAGTCTTAGTCCAGTTCTTTAGAGAGAGTTTTACGTATGAAGCTTGCCAAACTACCACTCAACCTCGCCAGTTTAATCGTAATGAAGTAAGGCCAAGTTTAAAATTGCTGTCCGAATAGGTCGCGCAGATGTTTTCATCTAATGTCACACAACCCATACTGATAACCAATTCTCTTGATTCACCAATGCAATATAGCCCCTGATCAAGGAAAGTGAAAACGTACTATTTGGGGCCAACTAAGTTCACTGCGTCTTTTTCTGCTCAGTCCGTCGCGGTAACCAAAAGTAGTCTCCGCAGCGCCTGATTATTTTACAGTAAAAGTCGGATAAAAAGTGGGCTGTCATTGGTTGAAAAAGCGTGTTATATCAGAGTACAAAACACGGAGCTGAGCGAAAGCTTTTACGCCATCTGCCACTTTGTACTATGTCCGACCATTTCCCGCAGTTTTTCTCTACTTTTTTTTAGTTAATTCATTGTGAAATTTCGGAACAAGCGAGCCGGCAAGTAGCAAAAAATAGCTTCAAAAATTACATCGTCCGCCCTTCGAGTGAACAACTATGAGCTTGCTCTGATATCCTTTCCGATGCGTTGAGTGGAAGGCCACAGCAGTCACGGTAGCCGGGTTTTACGCAATGTCATTCCAAGCGACCTTCATGTTCCTGTGAATTCGGCTGTCGTTTATTCATAAAACATACTCATTGAGGCGTTTGTTTTCTTATTGTCACGTGAAAAAGCTTGAGTGGTTTTATGAGCCACAATTCTACCAGATTTCAATGAACATTTCACTTTCAGATTTAGTATTGACCAAACAACTTCAGGGAAAATTTTTAAATTCGACTAGCCGAACCATTTCAGTTTGTGAATTATTGCATTCTCTCGTTATGAACTTTGATGCTTTTGACGTTTTTGACAGTTTTAGTCCTATTCAACCAATCAGATTATTTGAACCATTCCTACAGGATTCTGATTGGCTTATTTTTGCGTATTTTAAGAGAGTATAGAACTTGCTGACGACACATATTAAAGTTCACAGAGCAACCAGGTGAACAATCAGACATGGTATGATGCCAGTACTCTGGTTTAAGGATTTAATGAATGTATCCAGGGAATTACAATTCATAGACCCAACGTTTCGAGACTCCTGTCTACTGGGTTCATCAGGGGTGAGCAATCGTTGCAACAAGAGGTCCTTTTATATGCTCTCTACTAAGCTGCCCTTTTTTCGGACGAGGTGTAAATATGCGTCAGTTAGTAAGCGGCCATCATCACGATTTAAAAGAGCGTGGCCGGAGTTGATATGCCAGGCTTCCAAACAAAGGCGCTGGTGGAAACGTCGATTAGTAGTGATAATTATAGAATTATTACACCCAATTGTATGGTTAGTTAGGCATGTGTGCTCCGACAAAGCTGAATTTTCTTTTTTACAAAAGAAGACCGCTTTTTGATGCATTTAAATCAAGAAAGAGCAGGTGTCTATCCTTTTCACGCTCAAGGGTGAATTGGATAGACGGCTCCACTGAATTCAAATGCAGTAAGCGGCGTTCCACTTCTGTTCACTTCGAAAATAAATTTTGTTTTGAAAAGATCAAGTGAGTAATGCATGGGGAATGTGACGGATTTTTTCACTATAAAACTTATAAGGAAGCCTTGACTATGGATGACTGCCGACAAGACCGTTTTCAACGCGCGCTTTAACTTTATTACATTACGGTCGATCGCGGTAGAAACGTTGCATGATTTTGTTGACACGAAGGACGGAAAACTAAGAGTTGATCGCAGTAAAATAACTGACGTTGATCTCAAGGACTCTGATACTCTAATGCTAGATTTTACCGAGAAGCTTATACAAAATGAAATTAAACAAAGCAAAATTATACGAAAAAATCTAACAAGATATAAATCAACGTGGGTGAAAGAATGCAAAAAACAAAAAGAAAAATGCGCGTGCTAAACACAAAAATGTAACTAGGAACGTAAATGGGAATGCCGCACTAACACTCTGCTCTGTTCCGTTGTGAAGCGCTTTTGAAGCGGCTAAAGCACTCAAGAGGTAGGGAGAAACACACGACTACGTCCCGTGTTTTCCCCTTCAGTTCTTTCATGCTGTAGCTGCGTTGGGTGCTATACAACAGAACAGAGCACAGACAATGCTTCTTTATTTGATAAATAGAGCGTTCATTCCCCTTCTTTTCCGGAGTTCGAGGATGATAGCTCATTACTTCTGACTTGCGCGACTGTCTAATATAGAATAGAGGGGCATCCATTTTTGAGAGGATCCACAGAACTGAAAACACGTGGTGTACACTGAAATGTACCAAACTACAGGACGATGTCTTTAGTTTGTTGCTTTCAGGACATGTTGCTTTCAGGACTATGTCTTTTATTCCTAAAACTATGCAAAATCAAAGAATTTTGAAAAGGGAAATGAAAAGAAACATATTTTTGAAGTTATCATTTCTGTGTTGTTCGATGCTATGTAGACAATAGTTATAACTCATTCTTTGTCTTCATGAGCAACAGTTGATGCCTTACACTTTTGACCAGGAACACTCAAAGAGCATTGGAAATAGTAAGTCACAAATCCATTTAACTCAGCTCGATTACGAGTGCCTTTCTCTATATGAACAAACAATTGCCAAGTGACTAATTTTCAGTATAATTCAATTAAGGTGGTTCCTCAAAAAAAGGTTATCAAACAATGTTTTTTAAACTTTCCTTAAATCTTCCCTACCAATGTCTGTTTCGAAAGATACAATAAAAAAAGTTAGGTCATGTTGACTTACAGCACGTATCTCTCTATAGACTATAGTTGCAGATGTACTCTCGCAATTTTATAAGGGGCCATGATTTACAATGTAGCTCTTCATGCAATTACCCAAACAAAAAAAAGAATTGGACTAGCTAGGGAATGGAAAGCTTCGAGTACCTTTTGAATCTTCCAATTGGTCTTCCTGAAGGTTTTGGACCGCACACCTGCTTCAATGTTTGCTTCTTCCATGAATACGCAGAAACTAGCTAAGTGTATTTTTTGGCCTACTAAAAATGTCAAGAAGCCGAATTAACACTAAGGCAAAAGGAAGCCGAAATACTGTGTTGAAGAAAGGTGTCAACTCAGTTCTTGTTCAAATTTGTTTTGTTTGACCACTTGTTATTGGTTTTAGCCCGAATTTGGTAATTGGAATGTTCCCCGCCTACAAATCCTAAAATCGAAGTAAGATTATTAGCAATCAGTCTTAGAACGAAACATCTATACAGTACAATTTCTTAACCTATCAAAAAATCTAAAATAAAAGCGTAAATTATATTCATTTCTAAGCACCGTCAGTTTAGATTGAAAACAATTGCAGGTGACCGACAGAATTTAGTAGGAAAACAAAAAACTCTCGTACCCCATTGAGTGGCTTAACAAAAGCATCAATACGCACAATAAAGAATATTCAACACCAGGATGTCCATATTATAATGGTGCCAATTTCAAGTCTACATCTGCTGCATGAAATAATGCTGTAACAATCTGCATTTCACTTCATCATGCATATAAATTGAATTTCAAGTAAAATCTTTACTCTGAAGTTTCCTTGAAAGAAAAATTTTAGAAATTGACTGAATTTAAATATATGACTATCTAAAGACGGAGACACCTCTCGCTGACGAAAATCTAAACAAGTTCATTAAAGGTGAGAATCCATTACTGCACCAGGTGAGTCTTGTTCGCTTTGGCTTCGATTCCACACTTAAGGTGGAATGCAAATACATTTTTTATTTCGAGAAATGCTTCAGAGTTTAATTTCGTCGTTTGCCTTTCCGCCTAGATAGCTTGCCTGCATTCCCTCGCCATAGAAGCAACTGGTTTTTTTCTTCTCTCACTCTAGTTTCCTTTCCATGTCAGCACTTTACTCCAGAGTTTTGCCTTGAATATAGCCCAATTTCTAATCCTCCGCCTTTACGCCTAAATTTAAAATTCACTCCTCTAAAAACCTCAGTTAGTTATGAAATACTCTCAGTAGCGTAGCAAGTTGTAATTACATAAGCCCCAA